TGGAAAAATGTATACATTTGATTTTTTTAACAAACTATGCATTTAAAGGTAAATGATTCCAGTTTAGTTAAAGGGGAATTCCACTGATTTTTCTAAATTCCTGCATAATTCAAAAATAATTTCTTCAGGGATTATTTTGTCCAAGACCAACCTTCTTGTATCCTTCCACCATGAATGGATTAAAATAAACTGATTAAAATACATTCTAGAGCAAAAACCTTTTACAAAGCTACTGTAAAACGATGTCTCAGACATCAGGAGGTGTATTCATCACCATTTCATATAATAACTGTGTGAGGTAGCTTTTAGAGGCATTAAACCTTACAGACGTCTGGTTCCTATCACAAACGCTGTTAACAGTTTTGGCTCAGTAAGTTTCTGTAGAATGAAGCATTTTACATCAAACCACTCTGAATGTTTTTGTGGTCATGTTAACCATTTCATTGTGCAGAAATTTGAAAAATCGGTGGAATTCCACTTTAAGATATGTTAATTTCTGGATGACCTGAAAATATTGTTTTGAATATGCCAGGCCTGCTTCCATATTTAAAACACAGCTTCAAGTGTACTAACCTCACACTCCCATTGTATGTGCGTCTAGTTCAACCATGTGTTGATGAAACGCGGATAGCTTAACTGCAGATGGGGCACTGATCTCACATCTAACCCATTCATTTCAGAGGAGCTGCTGGGCTGTTTTCTTTTTTCCTCTTCTCTTCTCAACTTCTTGTTAATTTCCAAAACTCTGCCTCATCATGTGCGTACTGTCCTTTTACATCACCTCTATGACAGTGGCGTAATGGTGTAAAATGGCCATGATTAAAAATTTTGATTGGGATTAATACAGCCAATAGCAAATTGTTCAAATGTGCTTTGATTGGCTCTTTTGTATTGGATTGGGACATTCCTACATAGAAACCAGATCTGGAAGTCTGAACAGAACGCCAGATATTGCTCTGCTTCATGACTTCAGCCCTGCCTCGCTAGCCTTCAGAATCAGCCATGCTGCACGAGGGCTGAGGTCTCATCTCCGTTTTGCTGCCTCTGCTGATGGACGTTGATGGCGGCAGCCCCGAATGAGTTAGGAGGTGCCGGACTGCTGGTTAGCATCAGGAATCTTTGACAGATTGATGGTGGGGTGCTGGGAGCGGGGGCCCGGGACGGCTTCCTCTCTCGCCCCCTCTCTCGACCCTCTCCAGATGGGCCACTGGCAATGCAGGAGCATCAAACTGCCAATACGGCTCATGCCTGCGATGATTAAAGGCCAATGTAATTAGAGTGAAGGAAATTAAATTTGGGACTTCCATTCCCACCATGTCCCACCTCACACACAGACACTGTACATCCATACACATATGTACACACACCAGGCCATCAGCCACGCATGTGTGAACGATGATTATTATCTTTGTTAAATATGGAAATGGCCTTGTATTACTCTTGTGAGCATTTTGGCCTTATTCCAGAAAACGATGACACCGGAGTATTACAACAGTTTCTTAGATAAACGCTCTTGAATGTTTCTTTACTTGGGTATATATACAATACAGTACTGTGCAAAGTCAGAGACCACCCTTCATGTGTTTAGTTTTTAGTCAAAATGCACAAAATGCAATGCATTAAGTTCATTATTTTTCAGAATCAGATAAAAAGTGAAAAACATATTTAACAGAAAAACTAAATATATTTAAAATATATTTTTTCAGTGTTTAGTGTACACCGTTAGAAACAAAGGTGCTGTGCAGGTACATTTTTTGTGCATCAAGGTACAATGTAAATGTACCCTCAAAGGTAAAACAGTGGTTTTAAGGTCCAACTGTGCACCTTAAATGAGTTTTTCTCAGGTGAAAAGTATGCATTTGTACTTTTTCATAACCTAATGTTTTAAAACAAAACAGTAAAATGAAAAGCCTGGAGACGAGACGAGACGGGGTGTGTGGCGTCAATACAACTTAGAAAATATTATATATTATGGTACAATTATGTTCCCTGGCTAAAGGTACCGAGATTTACCCTTGAGGGTTCCACCCCAGTGACATGTGGGGTACTGCCCCAGTGACAGTTTCGTACCTTTTTTTTCTGAGAGTGTAACAGCCCTTTGCTTTTATTACAGCTTCCATTCTTTTCAGGAGTCTTGCTTTCAGTTTTTCAAAGAAATCTGCACAGAGATTTTTGGCACATCTCCAAAGTTCAGTCTTAGAAGTTGGTTTTCTGCTTCAACCCAAGTAATGCCTATTACAAATTTACACTCATCTGTCTATAAACCTTAATCCACACCTCAGATGTCCAGTTTGGTGCACATTTCTAGTGCAAATTTCTTCTTTTTGTCTGTTTCCTTTTCTCAGTAACAGCTTCTTGACTGCTACACATCCTTTCAGGCTCATAGTGTTGAGTTGTTTTCTCACAGTGGCAGGATTTACACCTGGGGATTTTTCACATCTGGAGCAAGAGTGGAGTTTGATTTCATCTCTCTAAGCTGAAAGTACTGTTTATCTGATGGGGACAGTTTTGGTGGTCTACCAGGTCTGGCATGGTTGTTATGAGTCCCATTTTCTCTATAACTTTTAGGGATTATTTGAACTCCAGTTTTGGAAGCTCTGTTTTTGTTTCACTTTTTTCATTTGACTTCCCTTTTACTTGTGCATGTGTATTATTTTCATAATGTCATAAATGAATGATGGTCAGACTTTTGCACGGTTCTGTATGACTCTAAAACACTTTTACCCTATGTGGAGGTTCTTTAAACCATAAAAGGTTGCACATCTCATTTATAAAAAGGGTTCTTTAATAAATAGTCCATTGAAAAGCACTTTAGGTAACCAAAAGTGGTTCTTCTGTGGCATCACTCGAGGACTCTCTTTGGCACCTTTATGTTTAAGCGTGTTAAGAGTGGTGTTATAGGGAGATACAACAGATGCCATTCACTCCAAGCCGGCAGTCTTCATGCAAGGCCTTGAAGACTGGCTTGAGGGTCTTCATAGACTCAGTTAAAGACCACTGCTCTAAGTCAAGTGTCTTTTGATGTGCAATTTCAGACGCTCATTTTACTCAAGTGGGGCGATTACCTAGAAGTATCGGTCTGCCCTGAATGGAATTATAGCAGACATTACGGCAGACTGCTGTTTTAATTCAGCTCCTACTTATTTCATTTTCACCGTGATAGATAACGTTCTTGTCGTAAGTGGTACCATTTGAATCGTCTCTGAGAAACTCGTGCCGTCCCCTCTTCTCTTATAGAGACAGATGGGCATCTTTTCAGGGGAAAAAAGAAGGAGAATGAAAGCAGGAAGGAGTGGTATTGGGGGGGCACTGTTCTGTTTTATTACCCCTATCTCTAAAGAGGCAAAGGCACTGGGTCTATAGCAGGTCAGATGTCACTGTTGCCTTTGAGCTGAATAAATGACTCAGGAAAAGCATTCAGAAGACTCGTTTTTTTTGTCTCAAACTATCCATTTCGTCTTTTTTGGCTGGAGACGAGGGGCTGGGTGATCATCCAGAGGGGGTTGAGGGGGGGGTGAACACTTAGGCCTGCAAATTAAAGTAAAAGGAAAGAGAAGGGAAGAGGAACGAGTGTGCGAGTCCAGCGTCGTGACCCAGTCTGATTTACCAACCCCCCTCTCCTTTAATGAAATTGTTTCAGTGACAGAGCCGGTAAAAGCTCGTAATGGATTGGGTGCTCTAATGTAATGAAATTACTCCCTTTCTGACTTAAAAAAAAGAAAGTGAAAGAGAGGGGGAGGATGGATGGAGAGAACGAGGGAGAGGGAGGAGAGAGTGGGGGAGAAAATGCAATTAATATTTACAGAGAGTTGACAGACGGGGTGGGCTGCACTATAGCCAGCCTGCTGTTCACTCTCCTTCTGTCTCACTGTCTTTCTACTTCTCTCTCTCTCCCTCTCTCCCTCTTTCTTTCTCCTGCATCCCATGCTCTCTCCCTCTTTCCTTCTCCTCCTTCTCCCTCTTTATCCCTGCCTTCTTTCTTTTTCTTCTACTTGTCTCTCTTCCTTCTTTTACTTTTTTGCCCCATTCCTTCTTACAGCAGGATAAATAGAGCAGCATGATGACTCTCCTTCTGTCTCACTGTCTTTCCACATCTCTCTCTCTTTCACACTCTCTCTCTCTTTTCACTACTTTCTCCTTTTCTCCCTCTCTCTATCTTCCTTATTCCTCTTTTACTTCTCCTTCCTTCTCTTTGCCATTCTTTCTTTGTCCCACTTTTACTTTTTTGACCCATTCCCTCTTACAGCAGGACAAATAGAGCACTCTCCTTCTCTCTGTCTTTCTACATCTCTCTCTTTCTCTTTTTCCTTCTCTCTCTGTCTTTTCTCTATGCGAAGTCCCTCTCTTTTTTCTCTATCTACCTTTCTTTCTCTTTCCTTTCCTCTTTTCCCCTTGTTCCTACCCTCTTGCAGCCATTTAAATGGCTCTTTCTGTCTAATGCTCTCTCTCTCACTCTTTCTTTCTACTACTTTCCCCTTTCATCTCCTCTCCATCTGTCTTCTGTCTTTTCCCCTCTAGTCCCTCCATCTATGTTTCTGTCAATATATTCCCTCTTTTACCTTTTTGCCCCATGCTGTCATAGAGCACTGTCTTTCTACTGGCTCTCTGCCTCTCTGTCTCTCTCTTTCTCTCTCTCTCTCTCTCGGTTCCTCTCTTTCTCGCTTTACCTTTTTGCCCCCATACCTTCTTAGAGCAGGATAAATAGAGTGTGGTGATAAGATGAGGAGAGAGAGAAAGATAAGAACGAGAGAGGTAGAGAGAGAGGGGAGGGGGGTATGGTGGGCTGTAGCCACAGACAGGCCACTTCTAGTCATTTGGTCCTTGTCCCTGACTGCGGGGAGGAGAGTGGAGGTGAGAGCTCAGCTGTGTGTGTGTGCGTGTACCTCCCTCCTGCAGCCCCCCCCACGCTCCTCCACCCCCTCCTCCCCTCTCCCTCACTCCCCCTCTCCCCCACCCGCTTGTCTGCAGACCTGCTGCTGACTCCTGTCTCTCATCTGCAGGCAACTGGACAGCAACCACATCAGCTGCATCGAAGATGGAGCCTTCCGAGCCCTGCGCGATCTGGAGATCCTGTAAGTCCCCCTCCCTTCTTCACTCCTCTCTTCCCTTCATCTCTTCTCCTCTCTCCTCTCATCTCTTGTCTTTATCCCTCCTCTCTTCTTTTATCCTCTCCTTTTCTCTTCTCACTTCTTGCTCTCTGTCTGTGGCTATGCGTGTAGTGTTTGTGCGTGCACGTTTAGCCCTGACCGCTCTCGAAGGACAAAGTGTGTTGCATTTGAAAGTGCAGTCTACCTGCGGCGCAGTGGCAGCGCCGGAGTCACCCTGGCCAATCTGTTGCCGCCGCCTGCGCGTCTGTGCGTGAGAGAAAAGAGAGCCGTAATGACTGTGCGACAGTGAAAGTTGCTCGTTTGTCATCCCGTGCTGCATCGTGCTTGCATTGTCGCCTCCGCTGAAGATGTTATGTGCTCCTGTTGACTTTTCTCTTGTCGTATCTGTGTGCATAGTGTACTTCTTTGCTAAAAAGAAAAGTGAGGCTCTACTCCTGTTAGTGCATGTGTAGTGCAGTTTTCCTACTTCAAATCCTGAGTTGTAGTCACTCAGATGCTGAGCATTGACGGTTAGCATCAGTTCTCCCTGTTGCACTGCTAATATGCTAACAGTGCTGCTAGCATGGAACTTCTCAGTCTATGAGCTTATCATCATTGAACCAAAAAAGTCTCCAAAATGGTAACATTACAAGAGAAAGCAAAACGTTCTTAACTTTAAATGAGTTAACGTGAAAAGATTTCATACAAGAGCCATTTTTGGAGTATTTCTATTGGTCCATTCTTCATGAATGCAGTGTTCTAATCATGTAGAAAAACTTACATTTTTTGTGCGGGGTGGTGTGTTAATGACCTCATCACATAACCTTTATAACCTCAGTCACCTTCAAAACTCAGAATCTTTCCTATTGTATGCTGTGAATAAATCCTTGCATAGGGCTGCTGCTTAGCCAAGCATAAGGACAAAACAGCAAAGAACTGTGCAGTAAGATGGAAGATTGCATGTTAAAAGCCACAGCATGTGAGATAGAGAGAGAGAGAGGGGGCGAGAGAACAGTAGGCAGTGAACGCCGCAGCCCCATCCATCAGGCCAGTGGCATAGTGCTAAGTGCCAGCCTCATCCCCCAAACGAGCAGCCCTCAGTGGACGGGGGGGAGTCCAGCCTCCGTGTCCATTTATCCCCAGCAATAGAGCAGACAGCAGCACGATGGCACAGCACTACATCACTATTAGGCTGCGAGAAGTTTTTGAGGCGTTATTGAGGAGCAACAGAATTAGGAGAGACTGAGTGGAGACGGGACGAGAGGGAGGGAGAGCGAGAGACCTGACCTAAGACTGTCTCTCCTTTTGAGGGCTGTAAGACTATTAGTGATTGAAGTAATTTACTGCGTCTGCTATATTGATCTATAATCAATGATTGTTTTGATAAGTACATGAGTAATTGGTTTAAAAAAATAAGCACAAGCTATAAAATTGGACAGCACCAAAACCATGAATAGTCTTTCAAAGCTACTACAATGCCTTAATGCCAAAGAATAAACTTGGAGGCCTTCAAAAAGGCCACTATATGGAAAAAATGCATACGTAGGTGTGTCTTCTGTAAGCAAAACCTGTGGAAGAATTTAATACCTGCATTATTATCAACTGCTAAATGCCAACTCATAGAGAAGTTACCTTTAAATCTGTGATATTTAGACGTTCAATCAATTCATCATGACAGGCCCTCTTATTTTGTCCTCAGTCCCACACTCAAAGCATAAAATGACCTGATCAGTGAAAAAAAAAACAGCAGTACATGAGCAGAAAAGTGCGAGTGAGTCAGGAATCAATTTTCATTAATAATACAGAATATCCTCCGATTCCACCAAAGCCCATTACCAAATGCTTAGCCATGGAGAACAGGAGAATATGAATACGTGCCGCTCCCCTGCTGATTGAGCCGTACATACAGTGCGTATCGGTGAGGGGGGTGGAATATATCGCTTAGCCAATCATGATGTGTTAACCAAGTGCATTGTAATCACTATCCTCCACGCTATATAGCCTTTATGCATAATTTCAGGCTCTCCTGGCCCGCAGTCGCCTCTGACATCTACTTAAGCGAATGCTGGGAAGTGTGGTGCTGGGGACACTTCTTTGAGCGTGTCATATATCTAGTTTAGCGGTGTTGGAAATGAGGGACGGCTCGTGCCGGTGCACAACGTTCAGAGTTTTATCTTCGAGATTAATGCAGCGGTGTATCTCTCTGAGGAAGCTTAATGAGTCCTTCCTTTGCCCTATGCCATGAGCGCAGCTCTAGTGCAGCTAAAGCTAACCTACCCTAAAGATAGAGTTATCTACAGGCTGGCCTTAGCCGATATATTAAAGGCCTTATTCAGAAACAATTCAGAAATAGCAAGGCGTTTGGGAGACGTCTTGCGTTAATATTAATATGCGGGATGAACAGGTTCTGTTGTGGTGATAAATAGGTGTTTTTAAATGTTTCCAGCCTAATCTCTAGTCTCTAATCTGCCACATACGTAGCATACTGTTGATTGCAGTGGGCAATCATTTTGACATATTCCCTGTAAAAATAAAGAACCTGTTCACTCAAATAGCTAAGAATAAAAGCCAATGGGTAGCTGTCAAATGCTACAGATGAGGAAGATAGAAATTAGGTTGAAAACCACTGGAATAAGTATAATAATGAATGTGGCTTTTTGTCTATTATATTACATCTTTCTGGCATCTAGAGCAGCATTAATCTATGATATACAAAAATGGAAAAAGATATAATAACGCTAAGCTAATACAAGAACCCACTGCTGATGAGTATATGAGTTTCAGAGGCCATGAACTGCTTGAACTCACAGTGAACTTCATCAGAAGGGTCATGTTAGCCATGCAAAGGGTCTCCTTTGAAATGTGAGGCCTGAAAGGCTAAACACTTCCAACTAATCACAGCCATCATTAAAGATCTGGTTAAATAGATGACGCACTGCAGCACAATCCAGGCATTTCACAAGGCCTTTGTACTGAGGTGCCGGAGAGCGAGCCGTGTGATCATTCAAAAACGACAAACAGCACACCGAGCCAGGCCGCTTTAAAGATGCTAAGCAGTCGTGAGTTGATCAGAAGAGAGCCCTGATCAAGCGGGAGCGGCACTTGTCAAATCTCTTCTCGGCTGGCGGGGCCCACACCCAGCGCCCGCACGTGATTTAACGCCTGCCAAGCCACACAAAATAAATGATTGGCTCTTTCTGGTGATGAATTGTAATGTATATTTAACATAACTGCGCTAATGACTGAACTAATGACTTCAAAGCTATCTCGGACCAAACCCCCACCCCACACCCCACCATAAGACATGCCTTGCATCCTAATGAGGTGGAGAAAGTGCTGTGGCCAGCACAGTGATGAGTATAATACTTCATCTGCAGGGAGAGAGCCTTCCAGAGGCTTAACCTATGTAAGAGGGAGCAGCTATGTCGATAATTATTCATTACGTATTGGTCTACGAATAGATGAGCAGATTCATATTATGCTGAATTTCACGTTGCACCAATTTTTGGATTTTCTGATATGTTCTTAAATATAAGGTTCCTAAATGCTTCCAGGTTTGGATGTACAGTTCTACAATGAATGTTATTTGATACAGAACATCTGCATCACTCAGATCTAGATCTTTAAACTAAAACATCTTCACACATTACATATGTAATTTATGAATATGGTTCTTTAAAGAACTGTCCATTGAAAGGCTGTTTAAAGTAGTGCTTCTCATGCCAGTCCTCAGAGACCCCCAGTCGGTGCAGATTTTTGCTCCACCCAATCTCAACACATAGGAATAAAGTAAAAATATGGTCTTTCTGGGGATCCCTGAGGATCGGCTTGATAATCACTGCTTTAGGGACCCGAAAGTTGTTCTTCATCACTCCAGAGAACCTTTTTCAACACCTTTATATTCAAAAATGTAGATTTGGAATCTTGTGTTATATGCAATCTAAAAAATAAAGTTCTTTGCGCAATGCCATAGAAGAACCGCTTTTGACTCCCTTTTGATGCGTTCTTTGAAGAACCGTTTTCGTAAATGAAATTTTAGTTTAGTTTAGGTTTAAAGCACCTCCACATAGTGTAAAGGTTCTAGGAAGAACCCTTACATTGGCAAAGAAACTGTTCAGCATATGAAGGTTCTTTAAACCTTTAAAAGGTCCTTCACAATAGCAAATCTCTTCTATAAACATTTTTATAGGGAACCAAAAGTGGCTGTGGTGTTGCTCAAAGAACCTTTTGTGGTACCTTTTTTTAAAGAATGCTCTTCCACATTTCCCATTACATCCAATTATTCACCCTGTAAAAATTGTTCTTCAAGGGTTCTTTAGTAAAGGATATATACAGTATATAGAACTGCAGAAATTCAAAGATTCATTTGAATGCATGTGGTGTTTGGTTCTTTCAAGAACCTTTTAAAAATGATTTTACATGTAGTGCCAAAAATGGCATTGCATTGTTACTTGTGTTGCTACAAGTGATAGAACCCTTTTTTGGTACTATGTATAACCTTTTTTTTGCTAGTAGTACAGGTATGTTAATGATTTTTTTTGTCAGAAAATCAAAATTCATGTTTCTGTTCCCCTTCCTGCTGAGTGCTTCTGAATGAATGACCATGCTCTTTATCTATGCCCTTCCGACCCTGAATGAAAAATGATTTGACCATCTCAAATGGTCAAAAACCACAAAAATTATAGACCTATTTGGCAATGTAAAATATGCTGGGTCAGAACAGGATAGGGGCAATGCAAGACCTTCCTAGCGTTTACTTTACAAACAACAGGCCTGTAACACAGAAATTGACTTACAGACTTTTATGCAAAATATTAATATTTGGCATTATTATAGGCTTGTTATTTCAGAGAAAGAGGGCCTGACAGCACTGACAGCAGTGGAATATGAAACAGAGTTGAATATGAAACAGAGGGAGTATATTTTGTTGCTAGTGATGTTATTATATAGGATTATGATGAGCTTGTAATGGACATGTTATTAGA